AATTGATCTCAAAAGCCTTCAAACACTAAAGCAACCAAAGCTCATTGAGCCACAAGAAACAAGTCAGCTATAATTCAAATCTCTTATCTTAGTTTAGTTTAGAGAAATAGTTCTACAAAGCGAGATTTTCTTTCGTTACAAATTTGGTTCAGCATAAACCAAGTCAAGCAGAGTCCGGGTTTTTACAAATATGAAATCCTCAGCAAATTTACAGAAAGCCTTGGTCAAGCAAAACAGGCACCATAGCGTAGCTCCAGCTCAGTGACCATTAATTCAGCCACTTCTGTCCTCGTCAGACTTGAGAGGCCTCAATTCTGCCCATTCAGCAAGCCTTCCATGGCTCATAATAAATTGAAGCTCTACCAAATTCAAATGCTGGTATCGATTTCCAGCATAAACTCATCAAATCCAGCTCAGTTCAGAGGCAGTTATCCAGGCAGAAATCGAAGTCCAACATTTTGTTGTCTTGTTTCGGAGTTGTCATTTCGTTTTTGAGTCATGTAATAGGCAGTTTTGCCTAAAACAGTTTACTTTCTTTTCATTTATTTGGGCTAGAACTACCAATTTTGTACTGTGAAAAATTGTGAAGTCCTCACCAGTCTGACGCAAGAATAGAACTTACTTGGGAGATATTCCTTCCCCAAATTCACAATTGCTTGTTTAAAAGTCAGTAACTTGGGGCGCAAGTTATCTTTTTTTTAGAAGTCTGCTAGGGTTTTGAACTACTAACAGTGGCAAGCTCACACACAAAAGAAAGTTGACTTGTTAACTACTAATGGTTGTCAAGCCAATAGGGAACTTTACCCTACCATCACAGGATTAAAATCAAAACGGGTGAACAGCTTCAGTTGAAAAAGTTGAAGAAGATATGGAAGATGGAGAAGCAAGGCAGGCTTCACGATGTTACTATGGAAAGGTGACAATAATTATAACTTCTTAGACCGATTCGAACCCAAGAAGACGATTTCAAGTCTGTCCACTATCAAAGGTAAGATTCTTTGATCGATTCAAATCCAAAGTTTGGTGTTAATGTGTTGAAACAATGAAAATTTGTGTGGTGGGTTGATGCATGTGAGGATTTTAATTGGTTCAAAAGATATAGTTTATAAAAAAAGATCATGCCTTGCAGATTTGGTAATAAGTTTATGCTTTCTTGGGATTGATTGTATTTTTTTAATTTTTAAGGGCGTTTGGTGTGAAAATCACATGCACTGGAAACCAAAATCTATGTTAAAACGACCTTGCTATTCTTGAATCATTTGAATGTTTTTAGCTTATGAATTTATGACCATTTCGTCTTATGTTAATTGCATTTTTCTTTCAAGCTTTTTTGGTAAATAATGTCGTTCGTTAGGTAAATTATTCAATAGATGTAAGATTTTACCCAACGAACGCTTGTTTCTTGAGTAAATTACCCATTAAATGCCATGATTTGCTCAAAGAACGAGTCCCTCATTGTTCGTTGGGTAAGAAATGACGTTTGGTGGGTAATGGGCATTTGGACTCCTCGATACTAAGCGAACAATGTTTTTTAGCCAACAAACGCTAAAGGGTTTTTTTTTTTTTAAATTTTTATTTATTTATTTAAACAGTGTCTTCGTTGGGGAAATTACTTCAAGGATTACGTAAGAAGCTACCCAACAAACACTAAGTAGCTCGTTTGTTGGGTAACTTATGCCGTTCTTTGAGTAAATTACCCAGCGAACGCCATGATTTACTTAATGAACTAGTCCCTTATTGTTCATTGGGTTAGAAATGGCGTTTGGTGGGTAATCAGTATTCAGGCTTCTAGATACTAAGTGAACTGTGTTTTTTACCCAACGAATGCTAAAGAGGTTGTTTGTTTGGTAAATGACAAGTGGTTAGTTTTGCTGTTTTCTCTCCAAATAGGCTCTATATGAGTTTTTGTATAATATGTCATCTTTAAATGGGCTTATTTCTAACCTTACCCTACATTAATTTCTTTCTTCTTCCTCCCCGTGCGAGTTTGCAACTTCCAAAAACAAAGTTTGGTTAAAAAATTTCAAAAAATCATAACTTTCTTTCTAGTTGTCGGATTCATGAACCATTTTCTCCTACAGGATTTTGAGATTGAGCCTAACAATCTCATGTAAATTTTAAGGGATGTTGTTAAGATTTTGGAATTTCTCCAGTGTGGGGTTTTGGAGAAATTACTCTGCAAATCAATGCTTTGTTATGGTATTTGATTTATTTTTGGGCATTCGAAGCTTACTTGAGTATTGGAAATCATTTGAGAGCAATTGAAACATAAGTTAAATATGGTTTAATTTGCTTGAATTTTGTATAGAGATTGTTTTGTTATCAATGATACTTTTTTTTTTCAGTTAACTTTTCTTAATTTCATTAATAAAAACCTTAATTTAGTGTAAGGGTATAATAGGAAAGAGAAAGAACAAAAAAAATAATATTAAAATGTATTAAAAAGGGATTTTTTGTAGAAATATCACTTGAACTTATATCACAGTTTCAATTTGTCACCTTAAAAAAAATTTAAGAGAAATGTCATCATAATTTTTCAAGATCCATGATTTGTCATCTGGCTTTAAGACCATCAAATTTTCCATCAATTTTTAAACGTATTTTAGTATTTTCATTTTCAAGAAAAAAACATAGAGAAAAAAAATCTCTCTTCCTTTCTGCCCCACTCCAACCCCATCACGAGTGGATCCGCTGTCCCCAAATTTGGTATCACTAAATGTCCCTCTTTATTTGCTTGACACACGTTCTTTTACTTGACTTCAAATCCAACAGTGTTAACTCTAATGTCGCTCATAAATCGCTTCAGACATGTTATCACTCAAATCTGTGGGAAACATAAAGACTAAAGTTTAGTTGCAGATCTAATGAAATAACCTCAAATCATATGAGAGGATTTCAATTCAATCAGAGCATCTCGTCGGTTGCAGATCACAGGTCATCTTCACCATAATTACTTTTTTTGCAATAAATAATTTCTCGAAGTAAATTAAGTTTCTTTGGTGAAGTGAGATTAATGGAACTCAAATCAAGGTGAGACGATCGGCAGATATAAGAATCCCATTACCTTGAGCAAACCAAATAAAATAGAAAAGGCTTTTCTTGAATTTTCAAATCAAATCAAGGAGATGATGGCTGTTACGGCCGACGGGTTAAGGTGTTTGGCAGTCGAAACTTCGGTTGGTGGGACTGTAGGGTGGCTGTTGGATTTTAGTTTTTTTGTTTAATTTTTAGTTTTAATTTCCTTATTCAAAAGTTAACACTCATGGATTCAGGGTTAAGTTAATGGATATGTGTCAAATAAATAGATAAGGGACATAGAGGGACACTAAATTTGGGGATAGCGGATTCGCTCCCAACCCCACCCACCCCCAAAACACATTGCACAGGAGCCCCCTCTTCTCTCTCTCTCTCTCTCTCTCTCTCTCTCTCTCTTTGAGCATGTATAACTTTTTTTTTATGGTGTTGACTGAGCATGTCTAAAATTTTTCAAATACCTGATTTAAAACTACTTAAGCTTCCCACCCAAAATCCAACCCTTTCTTGTCTTCATAATTTCATTAACTTACGCTACTGTGTTTCTGTTGAAGGATCTAAAGTTTGCTTGGTCACCATCAGTTACGTAGGCTATCGAATTGTTAGTTTGGAAGCTGTCCTTCCACAAATTTTCAATATGCAAATGGAAAAATACCTAAAAGAAAAAAGAAGAAGAAAAATGTGGACTCAGTTTGGGTGGGCTGAGGGAATTTGTATGTGGAGGGTAAGTGTTCCATGGTAGAGAGGGAAGTAGGAAGGGAAATAGGGAAAAGGGAATGGAGGAAGGGGCAATGAAGAGGGAATGGAGGAAGGGGCAATGAAGAGGGAATGGGGAATGGATTTCAAGGTAGGCAGGGTTGATTGAAGCCGTTGGTGGCGCACAGGGGATTGGAGAAGGTGAGATTTAAAATAATAAAAAATTGTTTAAAAGGTATACAATTTTTTTTATAATGATTTTTTCATTTTTAAAATACCCTTAAAAATGGAAAAACTAAAATATCCTTAAAATATATGAAAAATTGGACTGTGTTAAAGTTAGATGATAAGATAACAAATCATGGATTTTGAAAAATTAAAGTGGTATTTCTATTAAATTTTTCTTTAAGGTAACAAATTGAAACTAAAGTACAAGTTCAAGTAACATTTCTATAAAAATTCATATTAAAAAATAAAATGAAGTGTAAATGGAATGATTGCACAAAAATTTACACACAAAAAAAGCAGAAAAATAGGGAATATGTCACCCTGGGATTTGCAACGACTGACGGCCAACATTTGACAACGTGTGACACAATTACATGCTCAGCTGTTCTTCGAGAAAAACGAACGCTCTCTCACCCACCACCAGTAGACTAGAGTGGAGGGCAATTTCTTGTTCTTCCTATTATTTACTTTGATTTTTGTTAATTCATCTACGTAGTTTTGCTTCGTTTTCCCCCATTCTCATTTCACACGCAAAAACCCACATCAGCAAGCCAGCTTTTTAGCTTGATTTTTCTCTTTTGGTCTTTACTGGCAACCCCTGAAAAAAAAAAAAAAAAAAAAAAAGTGGTGAAATTCCAGACGCTTCTGCATATTAAGTAGAAGAAGTCAAAGCCCAAGTTGATCTCACCGCGTTGAGGCACCGCCCGGCAAATACAAAGTACAGTTTGTTTCTTCTTCCCTTTACTTTTGTTTTGTCTGCGTAGCGCGCTTTTGCATCGACTGGTTTTGGTGGGTGGATAATCGAACTTGTTGGCTGATTTTTCAATGTTTTCGCTTTGCATGTTTGAATGCAATCTTATGTGGTTTGTTGGTGAGTGGTGATTGGATAAGAAATTATAAACCCAATGGGATAAATCGTTGTTGGTATTGTCTGTTGTTGTAGAATATGAATTCTCTTTAGGGTCAAAGGCAGCTGGAAATTGAATTAGAGGGATTGTTTGGATTTTGGCGGAAAATCCCCTAAGAAAATCAAAGCTTTTTCGATGTTTGTGAGGTGATTTCTGATTTGAGCTGTTCTTTTGGCGGTGGTGTGAAACTAAAATACAAAATCAGAAGTGGGTTGTTCCAAATTTTGTGTGAAATCTTGGAACTTAGGAAGTTCCTTTTTTGTAGCTTAGAAGAGATCAGCTTGGAATTCGTCATTGCCAGTGTAATATTTCATTTTTCTTCTTGGAGAGGATAATATTGGAAACTTTTAAAGTGTCTATGAGCATTTGTGCATGTAATCTTTAGTTTCTTGGAGCTGAGTTTATTTGGAGGAAGAAGAAGAAGAAGAAGATGATGATTGGGACTTCTGATGCAGTGACCCATAATGCCTACTCAAATGGGTTGATTCAGCACTCAAATGATTCTGTTGAGGAGAAGCTTGATGAGCTTCGACATCTAATGGGCAAAACAGAAGGTGATCCACTTAGGATAGTTGGTGTTGGTGCAGGTGCTTGGGGAAGTGTCTTTGCTGCTATGTTGCAAGATAGTTATGGTCACTTTAGAGAGAAGGTCCAAATAAGAATATGGAGACGACCAGGAAGATCTGTTGACAGAGCCACAGCAGAACATTTATTTGAAGTGATCAATTCAAGGGAAGATGTGCTGAGGAGACTGATTAGGCGGTGTGCTTACTTGAAGTATGTTGAAGCAAGATTAGGTGATCGGACGCTTTATGCAGATGAGTTACTGAAAGACGGGTTTTGCATCAATATGATTGACACCCCTCTTTGCCCTTTGAAGGTTGTCACAAATTTGCAGGAGGCTGTGTGGGATGCTGACATTGTGGTGAATGGACTGCCATCAACAGAAACTCGTGTGGTATTTGAAGAAATTAGTAGGTACTGGAAAGAGAGAGTAACAATGCCAGTCATCATCTCTCTTTCAAAAGGTGTCGAGGCTGAATTGGAGCCTGAACCACGCATAATTACACCCACTCAAATTATCAATCGAGCAAGTAAGACTGATTCTATGTTTTTCTTTAATAGTTGGCAATTTTTGCACGGGTACCTATTTTTTACTTGAGCAATTCTTCTTGGTTGTTTTCTGTCTGTCTCAACATTCCTCTTCTCTTTGATGCTGATTTAGTTATTTGGTGTGTTTTATAATAGTTTCATTAATCTTGAAATTGTTTGGTTTGTTGCTACTTCTCCTCACCACTCCTCTCTTGAATTGAATGAAGGCCTTGAGATTCTTGTGGCCTTTCCTCTGATATTATGAAAGTGATCTTTATTTTTGTTCTTATACAGTTATAGTAGTTCGTATATCATGGAATGCCTGTATGATTAGGGTAGATCTGCTATTAATTCGTTACTTGGCAAGGTTTTTTCACCCTGGCTATCCGTCTTTATCTAATACATACTGTGCTTTGCAGCTGGTGTTCCAAATGAGAACATTCTCTACCTTGGAGGACCCAATATTGCCTCAGAGATTTACAACAATGAATACGCTAATGCTCGCATATGTGGATCTGAAAAGTGGAGAAAGCCATTGGCCAAGTTTTTAAGGCAGCCCCACTTCATCGTGTGGGACAATGGTGACCTTGTTACTCATGAAGTTATGGGCGGATTGAAGAATGTGTATGCCATTGGAGCTGGTAAGATAGAAGAGAAGCAAAGTCAACCTTTTTCAATTACAATGGATATGATTGCATAAATTGCATTTCATTAAAGTTAAGAAATTTGGTGGTTTTCTTCAAATTAACCCTTAATGGTTGGACAGCAGTGCAAGTTAACACATACTAAGTACAGTCTTAGGTGGTGTAGTTTTCATAATTTAAATGGTTTGGGAGAGTACACATAAAACCTAAGAGGTACCACAATCATTCATTTGAAGGGGCATTACTCTTTGACGCTACAAGTTATGCTATAAGTTACCATGTTGATATAGCACATATTAAGTACTGTAGTGGATGTGAAATAATGATTCAGGAAGTCTCATATATCTATAGATTCAGGACTAAAAATTACAAATTCATGATATCTATATATATACATATAGAGAGGGACACTTTCCAGATAAAATTAGATTTCCATGTTAATTGCCTGCTCTAGTTGGTTCCATCTCATGTCAATTGGAAGGTGACCTCTTGCCTTGGATTGTCCTGCTTTATGTTATCCTGTGATGTTCTTTCATATGCTAGTCCTGTGATTTTATCATGCTATACTTGAAGGCTTTAATTTATTCATCAAACTTTGAATTATGCTTTAACAGGAATGGTAGCTGCGTTAACCAATGAGAGTGCCACCAGCAAATCGGTATACTTTGCACATTGTACATCAGAGATGATATTTATCACCCATTTGTTGGCCGAAGAACCAGAGAGGCTGGCAGGGCCTTTGTTGGCTGACACATATGTAACCTTATTGAAAGGTCGTAATGCATGGTATGGACAAAAGCTAGCCAAAGGGGAGTTAACCCTTGAAATGGGTGATAGCATCAAGGGCAAGGGTATGATTCAGGTACTGATCTCAATCACCTTAAATAACGGTGAAGTAACAAACATGAGCCTTTTTAGAATTATACTAGAACTGGTTGGATTACGAAGTTGAAGCAGGAAGAGAGGGAAGGAGAGTTGAATACTTACAAATGCATTGAAGTTTGTATATCACTATTATTGTTTAATGAAATCAGGGGTGTGACTTGCAAACATGATCTTTGTTTGCATTGATAAAGTTTAACGACAAGTCGTTGCAACTATTAAATTAAAAAATTCTAATCAGATTGCTGTGTACTTTAGTAATAAAAAAAAAAAAAAAAAAAAAATGTCTAAAAGTTAAGTTAAAAAAAAAAGAAAGTTTTCTTTATTGAAAAAATCTGGGGGAACATTTGTTGAGTAGCTTGAACTGGAAACTTTCATTGCTTATTGGATCTCATTGGACTCTGTACTGTAAAAGTAAAAACTATGTGTAATTGTAGAATGGCGGATCATATAAGATACATAATTCTATACGATAGATGCCAATATGTGGATTCCTTATACCAATTCCTCCTCTATTGTGCCCTACAAACTGTTGTTCTGGGTAATCCGTTTTACAATTCTAATTCATTATTTCATTACAAGCTAAATCAATTGCCGTTCAATTCTTATGTTTGGCTTAACCAGGGATAAGCAATCCACTTCTTTATTAATTTACTATTAGTTTTTGTGTTCAAGTTTCATTTGACTGGCTGTTTAAAATATGGGCACATTGCAGCTAGTACTGTGTGAGCAATTTCACCCCCTCCACTACTCTTGGAGTATGAATTTGTATGTCATGTGACTGCTTTCTCTTTTAGTGAAAGGATGTGGGGGCCATCGTCTTTTCACAATAAAATTATATTAGCCGCTTGGAAGAGTGCCAATAAATGATTCAGGGCCAACTCTGTTGTAACTTCTCTGCTGATGATATTCCTACTTTTATTTTTGCAGGGGGTCTCTGCTGTAAAAGCATTTTTTGAGCTGCTAAGTCATCCCTCTTTAAGTATCCTACATCCTGAAGAGAACGAGCCCATTGCTCCAGTTGAGCTTTGCCCTATCTTGAAGATGCTATATAGAATACTTATAATAAGGTATTGCATTTCCATAAAGTTAGTTGAAATTAGACTAGAAAATAAATCTATTGCTTTCTGACAATGTGAATTATTAGTAGAAGCAAAATTTAATACTGTCTACTTATGTGAATATTTAGGGAGTTTCCACCACAGGCTATTCTTCAAGCGTTAAGGGATGAGACCATGAATGACCCTCGGGATCGTATTGCGATTGCACAAACCCATGCTTTTTACAGGCCATCCCTTCTTGGCCAGAAGTTTGATGTGGATATCTCTTTCTTTTGCATGTAATTTTATTAGTTCTCAAGTAAGTGACAAGATGTGTTGGTATTGTAGTTTTATGTAGCATTCTACTTGTGGGGGATAATGTATTAGGAGAACGCTTGGGCATCAGATGGTTTCTTTAATTGTGTATTGTTTAGTAGAAAATTTAGAAATCGATGGGGACAGGTCTTGATTCACATACCACCCTATTTTGTTTCTCTTAGATTCGAAATAGGCATTTAATTTAATTTAATTTTTTAAAAATGGGGTTAGTTTTACTTCTTGCTATATGCACTTGTTTAAGATTTTACAATCTTCCTGTGGCCCAGAACTCCAAATATCTCCAAGTTTTTCTACTCTGATTTGTCATGTTTTTGCACGGTTCTTTGTGTGTGCGCGCGCTTTTTTTAACTATTTTTCGTATATACTTTTAGCGTATGTTGGTTTTTTATTTTTTTTTTTTTTTTTTTTTTTTTTTTTTTTTTTTTTTTTTTTTAAATTTTATTTTTTTTTATTTTATTGATTCTGTGGGCCATTCTCTGCTTGCTTATTTAAACACACTATTTCGGAATAGTGAAAACAGTTATCAAAATCAATTAAAAATGGGTCAATTGAACATGGGTTGGCAAGTAGAAAAGTAGGTCAAACTCTCATTCTTCCCCCCAAGTGCGCCACACGACATGTAAAGAGATAATATTGAGGCAACTCAACATAATAATAATACCCTTCCAATGGTGAATAATACTCGAATATACAGGAAGGGAGATAATATTGAGGCAACTCAACATAATAATAATACCCTTCCAATGGTGAATAATACTCGAATATACAGGAATGGAGAATTGAACTTAGGACTCGAGCAGTAAATATCGAACAAAACTATTATCCCAAAAAGAAAAAGAAAAAAAAAGGAAAAAAAATTGTTTACCAAAAGGGCAGTGTTTTATTACTGGCCGAAAGAAATAGCAGCGTTTTATGGCAAAATAAAAAAACAGTGCAGAGGCCCGAGGCATAAAGTGAAGAGTCCGAAGAGTTTAGGAGAGTGAAAGAGGAAAAAACGAAAGATGTCGTTGGTGGACTATGCATCTTCAGACGACGACGTATCGGAGGAGATTAGGGAAAATAAGGAAAACGAGCCAGCCCAAGTACCCCAGGACGATCCACAGCCTCCGACTCGTCCTCACACCCAGTAATTCATGCTTCTCATTTTCTCTGAATTTCATTTTTAAATTTGAGAACTTTTAGTTCTGTTGGATTTACTTTTTTTCTTTTTTAATTTTATGATATTCTGAATACAGATGTTTTTCATTATTTTTGTTTGGGACCATAGGGAAAATAAGGGAAAATAAAAAATATAAACACATAAAAATTGTTCTGTTCAAGTTGTAGAAACCTTTGTAGTTTGTGTCGGAATGCTGTTATTTTGTGCATATGTGAGTTGTTAATCAGAAAGGAAAATTGGAGGGTTTATTGGAAGAAGCATATTGCCATTAGCTTACTTAGGGTTACTTCCCATTTTTAGGGAATCTAAAACTTTTTGAGGACGCATAGCACTAAAATAATTTTTCATGTTTTTTATTGGTAGTGGTAGCCTTTTTCTTTTTTTTTTTTTTTTTTTCTGTTTTTTTTTTTTTTTTTTTTTTTTTTTTTTGGGGGTGGTGTGGGTTAATAATTTTATAATTGTTTGTTAAAAAAAATGGAATGTTGGTGCAAATTTAGGGTGGTTTTTTGTTGTGAAGATTGAAGGGTGTCAGAATGATTGGTAATCTTTGGACTTCAAGTTCAAAGATGAAATTTTTTTAAAAAGATAAATTTAGGTTTTATTTTAGGTTTTTAAGTGTTGGGTGCTAAAAGAGGGGGTTCTTAACTGTCCTTAATTTTCACAGCTGGAAAATTAGTCACAATGTTTTATATTTGTATTCTCCATACTGGGAATATGATGCTTCTCACTTCCTTGGGATGCCTTTTTAATTTGGTATTTTTGTGTGTTATAGATCCGTTGTTTCATCATATCAGCAGCCTGAAAGTACTGCCCATTCATCAGCTCCTTCGATTGAGAAACTTCCTGATGCTTCAATGCTCTTGAATTCTCCTGTTTTCTCATCCAATATGTTTAGTGGTGATGACCACTCTTCTCGTGTTGCAGCTGCAATAGCTGAAAGTGCATCACGCAAGAGAGAGTCAAATGAATTTGTTTCCTCTGTTCCCCGCAGTAAAGTTCCCAAAGGTAACTTGCCTCATTCCAAGAATGTTCCCGATACAATTGGTGGTATGCTGGTTCCACCTCAGCTTAGCGGAAGGTTAGTTTCAATAGGTTTGATATTTCCCATAGCTTATTTGACATCTGAGTTTTACGTGTTTTTAAAAATTCTCCTTTCGATTCTGCTTATGTTAAACTGTTTAGCCTTACAGATGTGCACTTTGCATACATGTGCATATGACTTGCAATGTGAGCTTCACTTTCTTGAATAGTACATCTTGAGTTGCATTTTCCGAGTAATCATGACTATAGAATTTGTTTAGTAGTAATTTGACATTTAAATGCCAACTGCCATGTTTTTGGAGTTTTAACTAAAATCGCCTTACATATAGATCATGCTATGATGATATGATTAAATTTGTAGATTTGTGTGATGAGTTTTAGTGAATAAATTATACCATTACAATGAGCGGATTTTCTGACTTTGACCTTCACATTAAAGTACAAAAAAATTAACCATGGACATGTTAAATTTTGAGTTAAAATTTAAATAAAAAATTTTGATCCCTCAAAACCCTCCCCGCTTCTCTGCAATTACTAGTAGAATTTACATATGAGAGAGAACCATTTGCACATATGGAGCATGTGGCAAATATAAATGCATATGACTTTTAATGGAATGGACTTTCTTTAACCGGGAAAAGTTTGTACACGTGGAATGTGGTAGTTGCTTGCATAATAGTCATGATGACCAATGAAGTGGACTCTTTTTAAGTGGTCCCTGATGGGAATTCTGTTGCATTGCTCTATATTCATAGGATTCCTCACTGCTTATAGTGGTACATCCTTTAGACTTTGAAGATGTATTTGGGTTGCATACTACTGGGTCATATTTAATTTTGTGACTGAAAAACATTGTTCATGGGTAATTGCTGCTCTGAAAATATTTGTTAAGTCTGACTTCGACTGTATAGGATTAGGTTTGTGAGTTTCTAGGTCACTGTGCATGAATCTGATATTATTGTGTTGGTGAGTTTGATAATTATTGACCTGTTTGGGTTTCACATTGTGCAAACCTGCTAAAACCAAGGCTTGGTTAATTTTTTGGGAAAGAACTTTTTAGGAATACAATAAAATTTTCCTGTGTTTTGGTGAATCCTAGGAAATCTATTCACATTGGGAATGAATTATAAAACTATTGGTCTTTTTCTTTGTCTTTTTGGGGATGGTGGCAATCCTGGAACTTGGGGTATTGTATTCATGAGCAACATTTAATATGCCAACTTTGTTATACGTTAGAGTTTTTCAATCTTATCATCATTTTTTTTGGCTTTTGGGTCCAGGAGCAACATTGTTACAGAAGATGTAGGAAAGCTATTTGTCAAAAAGCAAGCTGACCCTTCAGCAAAGTAGACGATACCTAAATGGGTGATGATGTAGTTGAAGTCTTAGATAATGTGTTTCTTTTTCCATATTGGACTGAGAGTCTGGATGATGTTTTTCAGAAACATATCAACTAGTGAGGATTTTGTTTGTGTAAAATGTAAAGAATGTTAGAGGACCCTTGTATTGTATTTTTGTTCTAGTTTCCCAAGTCGTGTCACAACAGTTAACTAGGTTGTACTCACCGGATGAACTATTGCATAATAGCATCAATGACAATTATCAAGTTTTCAGATATCCAAAAGTAAATTCTTCTGCTGCTAATGGGTTGTGTTGCACTTATGAGGCATATTTGCCTTGATCCGTGTTTCGAGTTATAGATAGCTCGTGCATTTGCCTTGTCTGTTCAAAAAATAGTTTCGGTTGAACTTTAAATACATGTAATTGGATGGCAGCCATAGGCTTTTCATACTCCAACTGATGAAGCAACAAACTCTTCAACTTTTGCTACTTCACTTTCACACATCAAATTTTCTGTGTGAGAATGAGATAGCAAAATGAGATCGTCATTCTTTTAAATTATAAGAAACACCTTAGATCATCATTCTTTTAAATGGGATGATCCTTTTAAGTTTCATTACCCATAATTGTATATGACTCACATATTTTCTACACATTTCGACTCCAGTAATTTAATATACTCTTTTCTTGTTGCTATAGTGCTTTTATTGATCTTTACATGGATCCTCAATTTCTTCACCCCAAAATCTTGATTAATAATGACAATTCCTTGCTAGTTCCTCCCAATTTCCGGTTCAATTAGATACTGCCAAAAGAAAACTACGGGGCCTGAGCTTCTCTAGACAGGAAGATGTTCTCCTTGTACAAGGATGGCTTGCAACCAGCATGAATGTCGTACACGTAAAAGGTCAACCAAAGGCTACTTATTGGGGGCGAGTGACACAATATTTCCACAACTACAAAACATTTGCAAGTGATCGAGAGGAGAAATCACTCCTACAACGTTGGTCAACTATTCAACTTGCAACCAAAAAATTTTGTGAATATGTTACTCAAGTGGAAAATAAGCACAAATATGGCATGAATGAGCAGGATAAGGTAAATTTTTTTTTTTCACTTCGCAATTTTTTTTTTTTTTTTTTTTTTTTTTTTTTTTTTTTTTTTTTTAAATTTGTTGGTTTGTGTATATTTGATAATTTGAACTTTTTGCAGTTTTTTTATTCGAAACAATTATACGAAAAATTGGAAAAGAGAAAATTTCATTTTGATCATTGCTGGAAGCTGTTGAAGGATGCCCCAAAGTGGGTGGACGATATGCACAAGAAAAAACCATCAAATAGAGTAAAAGGTACAAGTCTCTCTCCTGAATTCTCATCTCCTTCTACTTCACAGAGTTTGGTAGAACTTGTAGAGGACCAAGTCCGTAATACTGAATCTGGGAACATGGAGAGACCGCAAAAAAGGAAGGAGGTCACAAATACTGATGTTGGGAACATAGAGAGACCACCAATAAGGAAGGACGTCCTAAATACTGATTTCGGGAACACGGTGAGAGCACCGATAGGGAAGGACATCCCAAGTAGTGATTTTGGAAGCAGGGAGAGACCATCGATAAGGAAGGACGCCCCGAGTATTGATTTTGAGAACACAGAGAGACCACTGATAAGGAACATTACAATTACTGATTTTGGGAACATTGATAGACCGCCAGTAAGGAAGGATGTCCCAAATAGTGATTTTGGAAGCAGGGAGAGAACATCGATAAGGAAGGGGGTCCTGAGTATTGATTTTGGGAACACAGAGAGACCACTGATAAAGGACATACCAAATACTGATTTTGGGAACATTGAGAGACCGCCCGTAAGGAAGGACGTCTCAGATAGTGATGTTGAGACCATGGAGACATCACCATTAAGGAGGGAGGTCGTAAATTCTGATTTTGGGAACATGGAGAGACCGTTAATAATGAAGGCTGAGAAGCTGAAGACAAAAGATCACCATAAGAATGACAATGCAAATAAGCAAGTTGTTGATCTCTTACGCATCATGGAGAAATGGAGAGACCAAGTTAATGAAGAGAAAAGGCAATATCGGTTAGAGAAAATGGAGATGCTTAGGGAGAGGCTTGAGATGGATAAAGAAAGGCTGGAGATGGATAAAGAGAGGCTTCGACTCGACCGTGAAGACAAAGAGGAGAGAATAATGTTGATGGATATAAGTGGAATGCCTCATGAGCTTCAACAATATTATCGCCGTCGTCGAATGGAAATTCTGGCTAAAGGAATGGGTGGTGTGTGAATTCTATGCAATTCTTTGCCATCATTGTAGTACACTTTTTTGGGGGGTCAAAAGTAGCGTCGTGATATTTAGCCTCTACTATTAGTGAATTGCACTTTGATGTTAACTAGAAATGCCATTACAAATACAAGGGGTAATTAAACTCCTCAATACTTTCATACCGTAGCATGACGTGCCTTTACCCATCTTGAGACAAGAGTAAGAACATCTCTACCATTACTTTGCACAAATAACTTTGCAAATAGTGTTCTTACTTTGGCATCGAATAGGGTTTGGTTGGTATCAGAAAAACAGAGTAACGAAAAAAGAAGTATACATTAGTTCCCTTGCATTCACGTACTGTTGGATAATAGTTTATACAACCAACAGAACTTACTGGCATAACTAAGAGTTTAAAAAGAGTGTTTTTGGAGCAGATTTGTATTAATATTTAATTTATTTATTCACAGTAATTTAGAGATATATGTCTAACTAATTTTCTGAAAATGTGCTGAGCCAGTGAGTCACTTACGGAACATTGGAAGTTCTCTTCCTGTGGAATCCTGCACTCATGGATCCTGTTTATAACCGTAGCATCAATGTGTTTCTCTACAACTGCTGCTGAAGAGAGTTTCATGACTTCACACACTTAACTCCCTGTTGTCTGAAAATTTAGACGTATCAACGAACAGGTGCAACGTTCAACGGATACAAAAATGCGAACAAATGCTTAAAACTCAACCTGCAAATATAGAAATGAAAGTAACAATATGAATATGAACAGAACAAATTGATAATAAAATAGAAAAGATTAACTTTTCCCATGTTCTATTACTTCAAACTTTAAATTATTCCTATGACCACAACGATAGATATCAATGTAGTTTTTCTGCATATTATCCTAAAATTTTGACTCAACCTACTGAGGATTCAGAGTGGATGATTCCATTTACAGATTGAGGGTTCATAGTTGTTGATTCATGAATCAAATTGAACTTACGGATTTTTCCAATTAGTGGTATCCTCAATGACAAGATGCGTCCATTTCGTCCTTCCGCTGTGACCAAAATGTTTGACCTGCATGACCTTGAGCAATATTGTTTTGTTCATCTTATCTTCTCCAGTTGGGGCAGAGAAATCACGCGTGTAAATTCCATCTGTTCCGACAGTTGCAGCATAGTCATCAGCTTCTGACTGGAAGAAAGCACCCTTGTGGTAATATTTCTGCATGAATCTCCACTTCTGCTTTCGTCGTGGTGCAGCTTTCGGATGCTTCCTCTCCCGCTCCCTTCTCTCTTCCTCTGTCATGTTTCTAACCTTTTCAATCTCTTCGTTCTCTTTTAACATCGCCTCCCGATCGTCCCTATCCCTCTTGATCCTGGCTATCTCTCTTGCCTTCCAAGTTTCATACTCCTCTGCCTCGTTTACTTCATCATCAGTATCAATATCAGCAACATTTGCTTCCTGTTCCAAACCCTTCCGAATCTCCTCAACCACAATCTGCTTTGTCTCTCTCTTCCTTTCCTCCAAATTCTTCTTCCTTGATTCTTCAAGGGCTCGTTCTTCAGCCTTGAGTCGCAACCGTTCAGCAATAGTATCTCTCTCTGAATTGGGAACAAAGACAGGCTTCAGCATCACCATACCAGTAAGCTCTTTTTCCGAGTCAGTATCATACTCAGACTCCTCTTCCTCCTCTTCCTTTACTTCTTCCTCGTCTCCTGACAGAAGGAGTGGAGCTTCTTCTTGCTCCCTTTGAAGCAACTTCTCCTTTATCCTTCTTCTTCTTTCCTCCAAAGCATCTGCGTCCTCTTCCTCAGCTTCTAACCCTTCCTGCCTCTTGGATTCCTCTTCAATTGTTGAAACAATCTCAGCTTGCCGGATATGCCTATGATCAGCTCTAACATTGTCCCGATTATCAATCCTGCTCTCAGCCAAACACCGGAGTCTAGGATCATCTTTTCTAACAACATCATATTCCTGAGTTGGGAAAGCTTTCTCCAATGAAGCAGCTGTGAACATCCTAATATCCCCATCTTTGTCGGCATCATATGCCCACTCGGGAGCTTTTCCAGGCCAATACCTTTTAACTTTTGTTTTCCCAATGTTATCTCTGAGCTTATCCCTGACTACAATCACAGGCCAATACCTTCTAACTTTTGTTTTCTTAATTTTACCTCTGAGCTTATCCCTGACTGCAATCACAGTATCACTAACACCTGCTGTTACCCACATGACAGCGGCTTGAGTACCTTATGGTATGAATAGCATGCAAAGACAGGGACCTTTGTATTTATACCAAGAACTGGTGGTGGAGTTTCCAATCGAATTCATCCCATATTAGGAAATCAGGTTCTACTTAACTTGACCACCAAGCTACCGTATGCTTATACCAACTAGAATAGAATTAGGATTCCTTTGGTCTATAGGAAACAAAAATAAAATAAAATTACAATTGTTCAAATGTGCTCTCTGTCTCCAAATAGACGTTGGCAAATACGAATTGTCCGGTTAGGGAATTTATCTTACTGCACGTTTTGGAAACAAAATGATTTAATTCAAAGTCCAACGTCATGACAATAAATTTGAAGACATTTTAAGGCAATTAAAATTGCAACATTACTCCTGCACTTTTTTTTTTCAAACGTGAAAATCAATAATACCCAGCTTATTGTCAAAAACCAAATATAACAATTAAATACGTAATCATATTAAGGCAAACTAATCTGCAAATTACAACCAATTACTACCCAAAATGGTACTCTATTTTTTTTTATACAACGATAATGGGGAAAGGAGAATCGAACCTAAGAGACCTCATATGGAGGGTTGAATACTCTTAAAGTTATTTACACTAACAACCCTTGAGGTTTTCAGGTTTTTCACAAAACATCTTGATGTTTTAAATTTTTTTCAAAAACCCATTTTCGTTTATTTTTCTTCTAAGAATTGATGATTTTATATAAAAACAATGCTCCAAATGACAAAGTTAGCCTTTGAGATTAGATTGCATATACATTCATCGAGGTTAATTTTGTCATTTGCATAAGTTTTTCAAATGAAATCGTCGATATTTGGACGAACAATCAACGATCGAAAAGGTGTTTTGTGAAAATAATCTGAAACCTAAGTGTGTTCGTGTAATTTTTGAAATATCAGGGAATTTTGTGAAAAACTTGAAAACCTCAAGAATGTTAGTGTACATAACTCATACTTTTAATCATCTAGACGTAATAAGGAACAAGCTCAACACCCAACAGATAAAAAAATGAGAACAAATGCATAAAATTCAGCCTGCAAATAGATCCTGGATATTCCTGTCCCAAAAAATACAGCTCCCAGCTCAACTATATAAATCGAATTTGAACGAATAGCACCAAAAAGGCAAAAAGAAGATCAATTTCTAGCTGTCCTCAATGAACATTGGAATGTACAACCAAAATAACGGGAAGTGGTGTTGAAAGTTATGCAAACAAGCAACAGAAAAAGAAAGAAGAAAATCCCTCCAAGATTCTGCACAAGGATCTTTCTTAAAATAGACATCTCTATCTTTCATGCGAGCTGAGGGCCACGGAGGAGAGGTTCGTATATATCCTCTTGATCCCTGACAGTTTGTTTCTTGATTGAAACGGGAATGAACTTGAGGACGACCGCAATGGGTAAACTTGCAGCTCCAATCAAGACGCTTGCTAACCACAACTCCCAGCTCAGTGGCACAGTTTGTGCAAAAGTACCCAAAAATTCAACTATGATGATCTGGAACACTACTGTAGCGATCATCACCATCATGAAAGTATAACTATCGAACATGCCACGAAAAACATTGATCTTCTCCATGTCACGGCTGTTAATCTCGTTGAATACCTGACATGCAAAATTTGATGGTAATGAATGAAAAAACATTCAGCTTCAGCTGTGTAGAATTTGAAATTTTTTATATATACACTTAAGATTTCTGGAATATTGGGATCCTTCGAGGATCTTCGTTCCACTTTTCTTTGTTTCATCAAAACAAAAACAAGTAGAAGAATGATATTATTTACCGCAAACAATCATGATTTAAATGGAGATAAAACAAAAAGAAAACAATGTATCAGTGGATGGTACCTGGCAAAACACAAAAGAGTTGAATATGACGGTATTGAGAATGGAATTTGCATTTGCACCAGTGAGCTTCAAAAGCCCGATCCCACAAAACTTGAGAACCAAGAGGACAGCAATTTGATAGATGCTTTGACCTATAATATTCCTCCACATGATCCCAGTGATGAAGTTGATATTTCTTCCAACTGGTGGTCTTTTCATAAGGCCATCATTTGGTGGCTCTGTGGCCAGTGCCAAGGCACCAAGAGTGTCCATGATCAAGTTTACCCAAAGCATCTGGACAGCCGTTAGCGGCGCTGACCCTGTAAGTTATTTAAAGGGAACATTAGGATCTACATTAGGTAAAAATGCATGTCAAAAGATTTCTATGACAATTGGAAGTATAAGAAAAGCATAAAAAGGTTTAATTAGTTCCACGGATGAACACACCTGAGACACATGCTGAAATGAAATTGAGCATCAGAGCGACAATGTTAACTGTTAGCTGGAACTGTACAAACTTTTGAATGTTGATATAAACCGCACGACCCCATCGAGCAACATTCACTATACTTGTGAAGTTGTCATCCATTATGATAACATCAGCATTTTCTTTTGCAACCTGCAGACAGTCGAATTTTAGCCTACCAATGGTACAAAGATAGAAACTTAAATAAAGAGCAGTCACTTGAATTATTTTGCACTAGTGTAGGATGAGGGTCTATTGCAAACCTCTGTTCCTGCTATACCCATGGCAAGTCCGATGTCTGCCTCGTGCAAAGCGGGAGCATCATTAGTCCCATCACCAGTAACTGCCACAACTTCTCTGAACTCATCCCTCAACTGTTTTACTAAGGTGTGCTTGTCCAAAGGCAAGGATCGAGCCATTACCTGCATGAAGCATTTTTTTTCCACTTATTTCCTTCACAGAAATTTGATAC